CGAAGGTACTCTATATACGTACAATTATTGTATACAAAATAAAGACGTGTAAAATATATTAGAATCCTTGTTTCTTGTGATTAATCATAGGTACTGCATTAAAGTCAGCCCATTCAAGAAAAAAATGTTTTATCTGAATTGCACATTGAATCATAGAAAGGCAATCTCCTTCAGCAGTGTGTGCATTTGGAGAATCAGTACCAAAGAAATGTTTATAGACACTTAGTAATTTAAAATTACTTGGTTTACTATTTTTAAAATGTAATGTTTTCCTTCCTCTATTAGAGTCTCTATTCGTCGATTTTATATTAGGTTGTTTAATAATACTTCTTTCAGGTGTTCTCTCATTAATTTTCCATTGTTCTTCATAGTAATTGATTCGAGGAGAATTAGAACAGGTATCACCTCCTTCGTTGTCACGCATGACATTGTCTAATGCATCTGATAACATTTCATTACAACCATCATTTAACAAAATATCAATATCTTCAGAAATACAAGTAGCGCCACTTGTAATACTATCATCAGTTATAGAATGTACATTTTTAAAATAATCTTTAATTAAAAGCATCATGTCAATGCTAAGAATTGCTTTATCGACATCCTGTAATAACAAAAACAAATTATATAAATACAAGCACATAAAAATAATTAAAAGATATTAGACAGATAAATGGTAGTATTAATATTATTAACTGTTTTTTACCACATTAATATTTCCAAGTTCCCATAATAATATAGGGTAATCATATTTATTTCCATTATAAGCTATAAAACAAACTGGTGGTGTGAGTCGATTTATGAAACTTATGATTAAATCATATGTATCGCGAGTAAAAGATCCAACATTGTCTACACTTTCATTTGATAAGCCTAAAATAGAATAATTGTGATTATTAATAATTAAGCGAAAGATAATGAAATGACATGAAGACAATGAAACTTTTTCAAGCAATTGCAATGGCTACATTATAAAAAGTAGGACCTAACAAGATTACATGTTGCAAGAAGCATTAATCATAGACTAAATAAAATAATAAATTAAAGTAATGGATAACAATATACTTCTCAAACATATGTTCACATTATAACAGCTTGTAGCAACTTCCATTAACCATCTCAAATGCTTTTCTTCGTAAAGTATAGGGGAATTCTTACATAATTATTGTAATATAACAAATAAAAAGTCTAACAACATGCATTTTTTAATTCCCACGGTAATAAGCACGGAAGAACACACACCTAAGACAATGCTATATTAGACAGAACAACACTGATTTTTGATACATGGTACATTCAAATAAAGAGTAAACTTAGTAAGACAATCAACCTACAGTGAGATATAAAAATATTAGATTTGAAACAGAAATAATTGAATCAAAACCACACATGTACAGATAACCATAAATATTGTTTTATTTTAATAATAATGATATAGTAGAAACTAAAATACCTGTTAATGTTTCAATTTCCTTAGGTATCTCTCTGACTGGATTTATTGGTAGAACTAATTTACTCAACACTCTTGGTAAGGTTCCTGTTTCAACAGATATGGCATTTCTTGATACTGCTATTAATGATAATTCTGTGATTTTTGGCATGCATTTTGTTATTAATCCAGTTGTTTCCAAATCAAAAAATATACATGTTTGAAACATTTTTTTATTTGAGTACAATAACCTAACAGTTAAATAAAATTAATATTGCAAATATGAATCAAATATACACATGAATCATGCACTGTTATCATATTGAATTATTATCTATTATTATATAATATTATTATTCTTATCTCTACCGACAAATTCTCATTGTTTCAAACATAAGAATCGATTTTTTAAGGCGATTTTCGATTCCTTCGAATTGATTTTTGGATGGTTAATTTTTTACAACGAATCAATTTTTTAGATACGAATCAATCTTCAATTCAAAGTTACCATAATGCCATTAACTATTGTAGAATAGATTGTACATCGCCGGATCATTTACAACATTTACTCTTTCTAAATTTATTGCCTTTAAATGAATGATTAATAAATAAATTAATAAATAAATAAATATACTTATTCAAACAATCTGTTCCATCGATTTATTCGATCGATCCGTCTATTTACTCGAACAAATTATTCCGTCTATTTATTCGAACAAGCGATTCTGTCTATTAAATGAGAATGTCGATGCCCGAATAAAATACAATTTTCTAGTCAAATATCACACCATGTGTTTATCACACCATGTATTGTGCTGTTGTCATGCCCTCTTGCTCACCCGCCACTTCCTCTCTTTGTCTAAAACTTTTAGGGCAACACTATTTAGCTGTGAAGCGTTAACCAATCATAGAAGAAGCAGTTTCTCTACTTGCTTCATAATTCTTAGCCGGTTGCGGCTTTAGGTTCATGAGCTTAGAGTGCTACAGAATTTCTATGTCCAAAGTAATTCATGGTCGAAATTTATTGCAGAATTATTTTTAATATTTCTGTTTGTGTTATTGTATTTTGAGATGGATAATATTAACACGTTTGTAGAAATTTTACAAAAGACAGAGGCAGTTTGTGAAAAACAGTTTGAAGAAAAGAAAAAAAAACAAAATTTAGAATATAATCATTTGATGAATACATTAAAAGCTATACGAGGTTTTTACAACTTTATTCAATATTATTATCTTAGTTTTAATGTATACTACTCATTGCGTACCTATTTTAGATGAGAGAAATGAGTATAAGGAAACTTTCAGTAAGAATCTTCGACGCATAACGACTTATAAATACTTAATACATAACTTATGTGCAAATAATGTTGACTCTACTCCAGCATTACCAATTTCTCATGAACATCAT